CAATTTAAGATTATCTGTTAGACTGAAACTCAGAAAGTTTGAATGGTTTGACCTAAAGAACTTGTGATAAGAAACAACTGATGCATTATCCTACAAAACATTTACTGATTTAAAGAGATGCAAATATGGATTAGTTACCTCCCATGTGAATCCAAACTATAGCAGACTCCTAAAATATTTTTGGTATTTTTCTTGTAAATAAACAGGCATATTGCCAATGGAACAAACTACATCAGTATCTACTCTAATGTCCTAAGGGTCAAAATAAAGAGTGGGGGGGGGTGGACAACCAAGCAGCTTTTTGTTCCCATTGCTTTATGTGATTACAACACTCAAAACTTTTCCAAATGACAACTTTTAAGATGTGTTTTTCAGATAAAACACAGTCAATTCAAAACAATTCCAGGTAAGATTCCTTGTACATTTTAAAGAAATGACATGGCACTACATCTAATTCTAATCTGTTCCCATGCCATGTGTGAAAGACAGAGAATATACCATATTTTTCGGAGTATAAGACGCACCAAGGTTTTGAAGAGGCAAATTTTAAAAAAACAGTAGGTAGGTAGATAGAGGGAGAGAGAGAGAAATTCAGTAGGTAGGTAAGGAGAGATAGGTAGGTAGATAAAGGGATAGAGAGAGAGAAATACAGTAGGTAGGTAGGTAGAGAGAGAGGGTGTAGGTAGAGGGATAGAGAGAGAAATAGGAGAGAAATACAGTAGATAGGTAGGGAGAGAGAGAGAAATACAGTAGATAGGTAGGGAGAGAGAAATACAGTAAATAGGTAGGGAGAGAGAAATACATTAGATAGGTGGGGGGGAGAGAGGAGAGAGAGGGGGGAGGGAGAGAGACAGAGAAATACAGTAGGTAGGTAAGCAGGGGGGGAGAGAGAGAGTAAATAGGTAGGTAGATGTTTTCAAGTGTATTTATCCATATACTGGAGAAGGAAATCACTGATAATCTGCAGTACCTAAGACTTGTTTCTGCTGGCACAGCACTTGATCGATCTAATTCTCATCAATCACTCTAACTAAAGAGCTTTCCAAAAGGAAAAAAAGTTTTTGCAGTCTGCAAACCTCCCAAAAACGGCCCATTTTTCATGAAAACAGGCCCATTATTTTGCCAAAAAAAATTGCATGCATAGTCTTATGAAGGCTTATAGAGTGCTGCTGGGGGCTGGGCAAAAGGGCCGGTTTTTTGCTCACTTCTGCCCTCCCCAGCCCCCAAGAGATGAAAGCCTCCATAAGGGTATGCATGGCCCTTTTTCTGAAGGGGCAGGGCTTCGGGAGGCAAAGAAAATGCTGTATTTGATGTATAAGATGCACTCAGATTTTCAGCATTTTTTTTTTGACGGAAAAAAGGTGCGTCTTATACTCTGAAAAATATGGTATACATATGCTCTAGGAAGCAAGCATTCATCTTTCTTTTGTTTCAAGACCCAGAAGGAAAAAAGAGTTACTTATTTGTGGTTTCTTATGAACAGACGCCATCATTCTTAATCACAAAAATATGCATAACACAAGTATTACAGGAAATCTTTGACTTACAATATTGAGTCCAAAATTTCCTAAATTTTACTTTTTTTGCCACAGCTGTTAGTAAATCACTCCAGTTGTTACGTTAGTCAGTTGTAAGTAAATCTGGCTTCCCTGTTGACATTGCTTGTCAAAAGGGCACAAAAGATGATCACATGATTCCAAGACACTGCAACTGTAATAAATACATGCCAGTTACCAAGTGTCAGAATTTTGATCATGTGACCATGAGGATTCTGTAATGAAAAACAGTCATACGTCACCTTTTTCAGTGCCATAACTCCAAACAGTCACTAAATGAATAATTGTAAGTCAAGGACTACCTGTATGATGCTACTACTGCTGCTAAAAAATAAAAGTATTTCCTTTTTATTAGATTTTTGCATTTCTTTTACCCTTTCTAATAGAAAAAATATCAGTACATTTACCTGGTGGAATAAAAAAATAGTTTCCAGCAGTCAAACGATAGCTTTGATCATCCAGCATTAGAAGAAGTTTGCCACAACTAATGTGAAAAATCTGAGAGGGGAAACCATAATTTTAATTGCATATTTTATTTCCTGGAAACATGATGATAAATTATTTACTTTAATCTTAAAATCAACAAGACTCTTGAATCTTATGTTGTCTACATAAAAATAAGACCTACAACACTGCATTTTGGTTGTACTCCAGACCCAAGTTCCATTTGTCAGGTGCAGGAATAGGCTCTGATCTATCTATTAACAGAGATGTTCTCTTGGAAGCAGAATTAAGACTGATGAAGATGTTCCTTCCACTATAGCAAATATAAGCCTTGCTTCTAACCAGAAGTGGAATTAGGAGCCCTGGTAGCACGGTGGTTAGAATGCAGTACTACAGGCTAACTTTGCCCACTGCCAGCAGTTCAATCCTGACCGGCTCAAGATTGACTCAGTTTCCATCTTTCAAACTGAAATTTGTATATTTGCCCTCTCAGTTGCATTCCAATAATTAATAGTGGAAAGCAAACCTAGGTTCCTAACAGCTTTATCAGAGATCATTATATTATAATAGAAAAAATATATTTTAAAGGAAGAAATAAACTGCCACTGTTTCAAGGTGGTAAATCTATAGGTAATGAATTATTAATACTAAACACTTACAAAGATGAAAAAGATACAAAGTCAATACACCATTCAATACAAATGTTAGTGACAATAAATTGCTCATATTCTTCTCCCCAATCATAGTCATTTGTTTTTCAATTTTTTAAATATAAATGAAATGGAGGAAAAAGTTATCTTTATTGTGTTCTAAGACCTCTCCTCTATGCAAATAATCTACAGTGTGAGAGAGAGAAAACACAGAGAAGCAGACAAAGGCATTTTTATACAAAACAATGTCTTTTTTTGGTCCATGAAATGGAACAGAATGGGTGGCATGGCATGGCATGGCATAGCATAACATAGAACAAAATAGAGCAGAATGAACAGAATTGAAAGGGATCTTGGAGGTCTTATAGTCCAACCCCTGTCCTCAAGCAGGATATCGATACCATTCCAGACAAATAGCTGTCCAATATCTTCTTTAAAACCTCCAGTATTGAAGCATCCATAATTTCTGAAGTCAAGCCATTCTACTGATTGGTTGTTCTATCAGGAAATTTTTCTTAGTTATAGGTTGGATCCCTCCTTGATTAGTTTCCATCCATTGTTTTTTGTCCTATTTCTGGGTGCTTTGGAGCAGGGGTCACCAACCTTTCAGACCTCAGGGTCCACTAAATTCATAATTTTAAATCCCGCAAACCACTACTATTTTTTTTAAAAGATAAATAGCATTTAGTGCAATATAAAAATGCAAATAATTTTTCTGCAGACCATCAAAATTTTCTTGCGGACCACTAGTTGCTGACTGCTGCTTTGGAGAATAGCTGAATCCTTTTCTTTGTGGCAGCCCTTTAGATGTTGGAAGACTACTATCATGTCACCCTAATCCTTCTTTCATTAGATAGACATATCATTTCTGCAACCATTCATGTCTTCTAATAATCTTTATTGTTCTTTCTCTGCACATCTCAACATTATTTTATTTATTTGTAACGCCTTTATTATTGTTACAAATAACGTAAGGTGGTGAACATATCTTACACACATTCCTCCTATTTTTTTCACAACAAATCTGTGAGGTGAGTTTGGCTGAGATATAGTACATAAGTTACAATTTATATTACAAGCTACTAAATATGAAAATTACATTTTTTCAAAGCATTTTAATTATCAACTGTTAATATCAACAAGACAAAATGTCCAATATTAATTATCTGTTAAAATGTTTGATACCTGTTTTTATTTATAATCTCAGTCAGAGAATATTTTACACATGAACATTTAAAATTAAAATTAAGCTAAAATAATAGCTGAACTCAGGAAGCCTATATCATAAAAGGTATTTTCAGCCCAAACTGTGCATTCTATCAATACACCATAAACACATCTATTTTTTTTCTCTTGAGATTGTTTAAATCCGTGGTTCCCAAACTTTTTCAGTCCATCGCCCCCTTGGTGCTACAAACTGATCCTCAGTGCTCCCCACCCAGTGGTGGAATTCAATTTTTTTACTACTGGTTCTGTGGGTGTGGCTTGGTGGGTGTGGCTTGGTGGGCGTGGCTGGGGGTCATGTGACTGGGCACTTTGCACAACGGAAGGAAGATAGTAACAGTAAAATTCAAAACTGTAACAATTAATTGCACATTTATTCAAAATCCAATTTAAAAACCGTTTTAGTTAATGTTAGTTCAACAAAATTGTTGAACATGATCCAGTGATACCAGGTTTTCAAAGTCTGATAGTCATTTATCAAGAACCTTAGTAACTAGTAACTTAGTAAACTCAGTAAAATTTAGTAACTACTTCACTGTTCAGTAAATTCTTAATGTGATGGATGGGCTTGATGAAGCGATACCAGTTTCCCAATGTCTGGTTTTAAGTCACTTAACAGGAGTCTTAAATCACCACGTTCAGTAATCTGGAGTCGATTTCTTTGCTTGGAGAGAAGTTGGATGACCACACTGAAACCACGTTCCACCAAATATGATGTTGGAAATGCAACAAGGAGCTTCTTAACCATTGCCATAGTGCAGGATAGCGATCAGAATTTTTTTTCTGTAACCAAAATTCTTGGTACAATTTCTTATACTTTGGCTTCAGCTTAATGTCATTTTGCAGCTCTATGAGTTGTTCTTCCACTACCCCATCTTCCTTAGTATCTGAAAATGGATATATCACCCAATCTGGAATTTCCATCAAAAGAAGATCCTGATATAGCTAGAATAGAAGCAAAGGAAGACTCGCCGGGCAGAGATCTGTTGGGCTGTGTGGTTGAGATAAGCCAGGGAGCTAGGGAGCAGCAGCAGGCGAAGTACGAAAAGGAGTGGGAGGGGCAGGAGGTGAGGGGTGGAGCCAGTCAGTGGTGCATTTTACCGGTTCTCCGAACTGCCCATAATTTGTCCTACCGTTCAGGAGAACTGGTCAGAACCGGCTGAATTTCACCCGTGCCGGAAGTGCTCAGCTGACTGGTGGCCAACAGAGCCCAGGCAGAATTGCACCCTGCGAGGGGGCCACCTCCAGCACTCCTCTGCCACCTCCTTTGCCTCTTAGCACAACGGAAGGAAGCTGCCCCCTTGCCTCTTAGCGCCCCTCTAAGTCATCCCACCGTCCACTTTGGAAACTACTGGTTTAAAGCATCCCTCCTGAATATAAGAAAGAAAACATATTCATGCATAAAGACACCAAACAAATTAAGAACATATAATTCTGCTGTGTCTACATGAAGGATCAAAATTATTAAACCACAGCAGTGGGGAAAAATAAGTGTTGTTAATATAAGATTGGAAGAAGAATAGTTAATCTCTGCTCTATAAGGAAGAATGATAATTGGCTAAAATACAAAGTAATTTTAAGTATTAATTTTGCAAATACAAATTAGAAAGAAAAGAAATAAAATACTTACTAATGTGTCTGTGTGGGAATACTGATATCCCTTTTCTTTTAATGGATTTAATATTAATTTTCCAGAAGCAAAGGAAGGTGTACTGAAGTATTTATAAATGGACAATATTTCATTACTAAAGCAAAATGCAGGTGAACTACCATTATGTACACATTCTATGAAAACAGGAAAAAAAACAATATTCACAGAAGGAAATATTACATAAAATATACTGCATCCTTGCCTTTTCATTCATAGGCAAGAATATGTTTACTTTTCTTAAAATAATGATAAAGAAGCCATATGCCTAGGCAATATCAAAACATAGAGTATATGGAAAGTTGAGAATATTTTATACGTAAAAATAGGTTAAGATTCTGCTTTGGTCTGCTTATTTTCCTTTGACCTCCGAAATAAGTGCCAGGGCTTATTTTGGGGGGGTGTCTTAATTCCACTCCCCCCCACCCTTTTCCAACCAAAAACAGAACTTTGGCTCCGGCCTCTAGTGCCACAAAAGACATTGCTGATGCTCTCTGAGCATGCTCGAAACCAGCGAGCAGACGCAGTTGGAGCCACAGTTGCAGCTTCTTCCTGTTTTAGCTTTGCCTTCAGTCGGGAGCGGGGTAGTTCATGGCAAAATGGTGGGTGAATTCGTTTGCGAGGTATTCCTAAAGCCTCAGCAGGAGAGGCAGGTTGCTTGGGTAGTAGGCTGAGAAAGTGGGGTTAATACATGAGGTGTTGGGTACGGGTCAAGCTTGGCATTTCACTTTCCTGCCCTTTGCAAACTTTTAGTTGCGCGTAAGGAAAGCAGAAGCAGCAGAGGAACAGATCAGGGTAGATCAAAAAAACTGTCCAACAAACAACTCTCCAACCAAGGAACTGAGGGCACTCTCTTATTTAACTGTTACATAAGAACTTGTCCTTAGTTCTTTGGTTGGAGTTGTTTGTTGGACAGTTCCTTTGATCTGCCCTGGTCTCTACACACTTCCTCTGACCTGCTCGGTAACCAGCTGAAAGTAATACTGAATAGTTACCTAAAAGGCCCAAACTGGTATTATTTACAGACTTGGATTCCATGGGTTAAATACATCACATTTGTTTTGTATTGTCCCTGGGATATGTTGGTTGAAGTTTCATAATTTCACAAATATGCAAGCTGATGTTTTCATCGCTTTCGGCTTTTGTAGCTGTCATTCTTATCTGATCATTTCAGATACTGATGCCAAAAAGAAAATCTTGAGATATTTAAATGACTTGACATTTGAATTTTGATATAAAATGATTTATTTTCTACTACTGTACTATCAATTTTCCAAGATGATAGCATGAAACAGCATTCTGGAGAACACATTTCATTTTATTTTAGCATGGTTGAAGTGAAAACCATTATCTCTATCATAATGGCCCAAATCTTCTCACACATTAAAATAATACAAAAAGGCCAAATCTTCTCTCAGATTTGAGCCGAGGTGGCGCAGTGGTTAGAGTGCAGTACTGCAGCCACTTCAGCTGACTGCTAGCTGCAGTTCGGTGGTTCAAATCTCACCGGCTCAGGGTTGACTCAGCCTTCCATCCTTCCGAGGTGGGTAAAATGAGGACCCAGACTGTGGGGGCGATCTGCTGACTCTGTAAACCACTTAGAGGGCTTTCAGCCCTATGAAGTGGTATATAAGTCTAACTGCTATTGCTATATTTTTAATGATATAAAAAAATAGCACATCACATACACTGAGGATCAAGACAGCTTTATTGGCTATTGAAGTTGGCTATAATTCAGATCAGGACAGGCTTTCAACCAGGGATGTTAGTATACAACACAGTTTTATCCCTTACTGAATGGGAATAGGGCAGTAAGAACATGGTGGGAATCAAAATTGGATGGGATTATTTTCACAGAATACCAAGATTAAATAATGAAATCAGCCATTTGCTGTGATCATATCCAACACATTCCTCCTCCTACTTCCTCCACAGTAACTCTGTCAAGTGAGTTGAGCTGAGTGAGTGACTGGCCCAAGGTCACCCAGCTGCCTTTCATAGCCAAGGCAGGACTTGATCTCATGATCTCCTGCTTTTTTCTAGCCTTAATCACTTGATCAAACTGGTTTTGATTATTGACTAAGCAAAACACACTTAGGAAATTGAAAATGACATAAAAATTGCCATTAAATATATATTTTGGTTAGATACTAGAGAACTGACAATGGTTGACAGTTAAATTGCCTTCTGAAAGTTCAGTTTGCAATGGTGTTATCTTGTGTCTAGCAGTCTACCAATTTTAGATAAAACTGTCTAGCACAGAGCTTGCTAAAGATGCTTTTCACAGAGTAATTGGGTACATTTTTACAGATTTGGGGACTTTTTAAAATATTCACACTCTAATAGATTTCTTTTTACTTGACAGTTGTTATTTAAAATGTGTTATTTGGCTACAGCCAAAATTTACCTATTTCTACTGACCTTCAAGATTAGTTAAATAAAATATTTTTTCTTTTTTTCACTGAGAGACAATCTCCAAAGCCCAGACTGAGATGCCTTTGGGGAAAGTGTACAAATAGTATTGGAAATGATCAATGCATGTGCTGATGAAGCCAAGGGATCCAACTAAAACACATGAAATATGAGTATCCACATAAGAAAATGATTGTAGCTTGTGAATGACTTGTATTAAAATAAAGCACAATTTCTGATATTTGTACAATCTGCTCCCTAGCAGACATTGAATCATATAGTGACTAACTGCCCTCTGAGAACTTGCATAGGGGGAAATATAGATTTTCTCCAATTAACAACTAGCACATTTAATTAATAAATGCCCTAGATATTAATATATAGAATACTTTTTATGAATCAACTGATTTTTAAACATATCTAGGAACATAATATATAATTTCTTGAATCTCTTATATCTTACAAAATTAACCATACAACATCATATGTGCATCATATTATTATGTGTTTTTTAATGCATCTTTACTGCTGCTATCTATGTATTTCATAACATACACTAAATAAATATATTTATCATAAGAATTTTTAAAGCTATGTCATATCACTCACCCAGAAGAATTTGTTGATTAGATGCTTTATTAAAAACAACAGCTGGCTGAAAAACACTTTCTGTGAAAATTGAGTTATTGTGCAAATTCTCTGCAAAGCAAAAAAAACCCCAGAGGATTAGGCTAAGGGGCAGACATAGTAACATGTAGTCCCTAAATGGGACTAGAATTTCCATTTCTAAGTGATGTAATTGTGGGATACAATGTCATTTGATCACATAGCAACAGCAATATCATCAATCCCCTTTGTGTTTGTTAAATGAGGATGATGGATTGTTAAGTAAGGGTCTTACCTGGCCATGATTTGTGACTTCCTACTGTTCCTACTTAAGGCTCTTAAGACCTGGCTATTCCGGCTGTTGAACTCATGTTTCAGTTCCAGCCCCGATTAGACTGGGTGTAGGTTGTGGTCTTTTTAACTATGTTTTTTGTGTTTTTTTAAAAACTTCTATTTTAATTGTATTGTTGTAAGCTGCCCCGAGTCCTCCGGGATTGGGCGGCCTATAAATTTATTAAACATTCAAACATTTCTAAAAAGCAAAGTCAATGGGGAAATTGAGAGGAAGTTATTTATAAGTCCGAATCACAAATCTTTTAACTGTTAAGCAAGGACTATGTTGATTTTCTATTAAATACTTCTATTACACAGGTCTGCGACTAAAAAGCTGTTTGATTATTTTCATCTAATTTCCATGTATTTTGGTATGCTGAAAACAAATAAAATATTGAAAAAACTTCTAGATGTCATGATTTGTCACAACATGCAAAATTGTCTTCAAATTTATCATTTTTTTAATTTTTGGTATTTTTTTAATTTTTGGTATTTTTTTTTATATTATGGGTTTTTAATTAAATTTAAAGTCCAAATTACTATTAATTAATTCACATAAGTGCATTTAAGATATAAAATGCCAAAAAAACCTTAAAGGGTTTGTCCAAGTTATGTAAAAAAAAATGGCACTGTAAAACCGATGGTCAGCAATATATACATAAGCTAAGCAAGTTTTAAGTCTGTGCTTCTAATGGTAGAAGGGGTTAATCTTTCCTGAAGAATCCAGTGGGAGGGAGACATAGGGCAGATAGCAGCATCTTCGGTCAGTGCAGGGGACGTGGCCAGCACTGTGACGTCTCGTGTACAGACACAGAGCTGCTCTCTCCTGCATGCCACACTTGTGCACGAATCATCATCAGGTTCTTGGTTCTAGGCTGTTCACACTTTTTCATCGCAATTCATGTTAGGTCGTCATTCTTCAACTGTTATGTTATGGCTCCGCAAAAGCATATTAATTCGCCAGACAGTTTCTGTTTCATCTGTGGTGAATATACAGTGTTGAAGCAACAGCAGAATATTACAGAATTTGTGAAATAAGTATACTTTACATACTTAGGACTAAAAATTGGAGATCAAGATAAAGTTTGGCCGCCTCATAAACTGTGCAAACAGTGTGTTGAGGACCTCCAAAACTGGTTCAAGGGTAAGAAAAAATCTTTCCGTTATGGGATTCCTATGGTATGGCGAGAGCAAAAGAACCATGGTGATGACTGTTACTTTTGTTCATGTGATGTGAAAGGATTTAATTCCAAATGGAAACATTCCATTTCATAGCTCAATTTTCACTCAGCAATTTGTCCCATCCCCCATGGCACACATGTACCAGTACCCAAGCTCCCTGCTACTTTGGAAGAGATACCTAGCTCCGATGAAGATGAAGTCATACCTGAACCAGATGACAAATCAAGTTCTGACTTTGAAGATGATACAAGACCAAAATTGTATTATTAGGAGGATATGAATGATTTGGTAAGAGTCTTGAATCTTCCCAAAGATGCCGCTGAATTACTCGGATCAAGGCTGAAAAGCAGGAATTTATTGTTGCAAGGAGTGTCATCTTCACAGTTCACACATCGTGAAAAGGAGTTCATTCCTTACTTCGCTCAGGAAGACAAGTTGATTTATTGCATGGATGTTGAAGGTCTGATGGGTCAATTTAAAATCCAATATGATTCAGAGCAATGGTGTCTTTTTATAGATTCTTCAAAAAGAAGTCTTAAAGCAGTTTTACTCCACAATGGTTTTTACGTTTCCATACCTGTAGATCATTCCGTACACTTGAAGGAAACCTATGAGAACTTGGAATTGGTTCTTCGTAAACTTAAATATGAAGACCGTGGTTGGCAAGTGTGTGAGGACTTGAAGATCTTGTGCATGCTGCTCGGGCAACAAGCTGGGTATACCAAATACCCTTGTTTTCTGTGTCAATGGGACAGTCGAGACCGACAAAATCACTGGACCAAGAAGAGTTGGCAGCCGAGGGTGCTAACAGTCGGTGAAAAAAATTTCCTCCGAGAAACTTTGGTACCTTCCCATAAAGTTCTTCTACTACCTCTCCACATAAAATTGGGACTGATGAAGCAATTCGTAAAATCACTTCCAAGAGATGGAGAATGTTTCAAATACTTGGTCACCAAGTTTCCATGCCTGTCAGAGGCAAAATTGAAGGAAGATGTGTTCATCGGACCAGACATTAGAAGGCTTATAGTTGATCAAGAGTTTGTCAATACCATGACAGAGACATTCCAAATGCTACTCACAAGCGTAAATGCACCAAGAGGAGCCTCACAAGGAAGAAGAATCGAGTTTAGTGTGTGTAGGTGAGCTCATTTCAGTTCAAAAAAAGATTTTCATGAAAATTTTGTAATAAAACTTCAATTTTATAAGTCTATTTCCATTTATTTTGAGGTATTGCCTTATTTAACATAGTTACCTAAATTGTCAGGAAACGTGATGTCTTATGACAAAATAGAGGTCATTTTCGGATTTAGCACACCAAAAAACATAAAGATTATGTGGAATAACCAAAACAGCTCTCCCCAAATTTTTTTTTTGCAGACCTGTGATTATTAACAGGCCTAGAATTTGCTCAGATTTAAACAAAAATCACAAAGATAAATGCTTATAAATTGTGTTTTTTGAATAAAACATATCAATTATTCTGTCTCTACACTAATTCTTTCTTGATACCTGCCAAACTATATATTCACTTGATTTTTTATACTTAAAATAATAATTTATAATGGGCTGAGGAATGCAGTATTATTCTCCAGCTTCATCTTATTCCTATAAACTTTTTTTTACAAAATAAAATGGGTGGATTCAGCCCAGTATTCTGTTTGAAAGTTTGTTTACAAGACTGGAAAAGTATGACATCCAGAGACCATATCATTTAACAACAGAAATATCAGAAGTACCTATTTTATTAACCAAGGACCTACTTACAATTTTGTGCCAGTTTTCAACAACTAAAGTCAGTAGGGAAGATGACAGGAAGTTGCAAGTCCTGGTCAGCTCACAAACAGGCTAGCAGGCACAAGCATAATGGGACTTTAGAGGCTACTTCAGGAGGGTGAATGAGAGGCAGGTTTAGTGCAAGTGTGGAGGGTTTGGGCTGGCTGCTGCAGTTGTAGGAGGGCATATGAGGGGCAGGTGCAGCATGAGCACAAAAGGGCTTGGAATAGCTGCTGCGAGATGGGAGAAGGCACACAAGGGCAAATTCATGGAGCATATGTGATGCAAGTGAGCTTAGAGAAGCTGCTGCAGGATGGGGAGGATGGGCAAGGACCATAGTGGTGCAGTTTGCAGTGACTACTATAGGATGCAGGAGGCTGTGACAGAAGCAAATGTGGTATGAGGACAGTAGGGCTTAGGGTGCCTGCTATAGAGCAGAGAGCATGTGATGCTAATCAGATGTCTATAAGATGCTGCAACTATTCTATAAGTGAGCTGGTTACCAGATTAGACACAACTTTGGAAATGCCGGGAATGGCTACTCATAATTGAGAAAGATAACGTTGTGATGATCATACCGGTTTCTGACACAGATTTCATACCAATTTTCGCTTTGCATTTCCTAGATTCTCTTTCTTCAGGTGATATTATTCCACTAATTACAAAGTCTCCTGAAACAATACAAAAATTAATTATGATCTATATAATACCAATTATAAATTGTTTTACTCAAGATTGAATGGAATTCTGGAATAACTGGATTACCTATAGCAAATTGGTACCAATTCTATTACTTAATGATTATTTTGTTTCCATCTATAATTTCATAATGATACTCTCAAATGTAAACACTAACATTTTGTGAGATTATTTCCTAAAAATAAAACAATTCCATTATGGAGAGGCAACATAAGGGAAATATAGGCTATCCATGTCACCAGTAACTTGGCTTTTACTGAAAGTATATACATACATACCACATATGTTTGGTGTTACAATGTTCCTGCGTAGTGTAATTTAAAAAGGAAAGGAACGTTGGTCCTACCTAAACGTTCTTCTCAGTGTGGCGCAGAACAGTCCAGGAGTGGGTTGTTCAATCCTTATTTGCCCAAGAGACTGAATCAGAATTGAAGCCACGCCTCCAGCTTCCCCTGCTGACTTCCAATTCCGATGAGGCGCAGCTCCAACTGGAGAAACAAAAAAGAGCAGGCCCTGCCCGCAGCATTAATAGCCCCAGGGACCTGATTAAACAACAAACAAGGGCAGGACCTGGATCGTCCTGCGCCATGCTGAAAAGAACGTTCAGGTAGGACCAACATTCCTTCTCCAGCTGATGGCGCAGGAGGGTCCAGGAATGGGACATACCAAAGGGGCAGTCCCTAGGGCAGGAACTCATTGATCCGTGGTACCCGAGGAAGCATGAACTCCCCGAAGCACCCGACGACCAAATGATGCCTTGGCAGATGCAAAAGCATCCAATCTATAATGCTTAATAAAAGATGAAGGGGAAACCCACATCGTAGCTCTGCAAATATCCCCAATCAGAGCCTGAGTGCTCCACGTGGCCGTTGTGGCCGCACTTCTAGTTGAATGAGCCATTATCCCCTGTGGCACTGGCTTTCCTCTCGCCTCATAGGCTTGGGCAATACAAGCCCATAACCACCGCCCAATGGTAGAAGGGGACACTCGTGACCCAATGGCAGAAGGCTGGAAAGAAGTAAATAGCACCCCTGTCTTCCTGGAGGGGGCAGTCCTCTATATAAATACGGAGAGCTCTTCACACGTCCAGCTTGTGCCACGATTTTTCCTTCCTATGAGTGGGGTTAGGCCAAAATCCAGGAGAATTAACTCCTGAGCCTTGTGAAAATAGGAATTTATCTTGGGGATAAAGGCAGGATCAAGCCTCAGCACAACCGTGTTAGGCTGGAAAATTCAAAGGTCCTCCCTGACAGAGAGAACACCCAGCTCAGAGATTCTCCTTGCAGATGTGACAGCGACCACCTTTAGGGTAAGGAACTGCAAGGAAACAGTCCTCAGTGGTTCAAAGGGGGGGATCCACAAGGGCCAGGGGGACCATGGACAAATCCCAAGATAGGAATCTGTGAACTACCGGGGGCAGAGTTTAGCTGCACCTCTTAGAAACCTTTTCACCACCGGATGATGGCCAAGGCTCTCCCAACTGTCCAGGACCAGGACAGTTGACAGGGGCGAGACTTGTCTCCAAAGCGTGTTATGGGCCAACCTCCTCTCCAACCCATCCTGGAGGAATTTCAGGATATTAGGGAGCAAGGGACGTTTAGGGTCCACATGTGCCTTATGGCACTAATCACAAAACGTGGCCCATGTGGCATTGTAAATCCTGCTCTAGGACCAGGACAGTTGAAAGGGGCGAGACTTGTCTCCAAACCGTGTTATGGGCCAACCTCCTCTCCAAACCATCCTGGAGGAATTCCAGGATATTAGGGAGCAAGGGACATTTAGGGTCCACATGTGCCTTATGGCACTAATCACAAAACATGGACCATGTGGCATTGTAAATCCTGGTCATGGCTGGGTGTCCCACAATAGTTTGTATCACCCACAAAGAGAATCATGCCTCCCTCAAGATTTCCCTTTCAAATACCAGGCGGTTAACTGGAGCCACTGAGGCTTCGGATGGACCAGGATCCCCTGGCAAAGCTGAGATTCTACCCAGAGGGCTCTGGAGTGAGTCCCTGTCTGCTTACACGCGCCTTCGTAGCCACATTGTCTGTCAAATGTAGGACTTGTCTTTGCTCTACAAGGGCCTGAAAATGTCAAAGGGCCAGATGAGCTGCCCGCAGCTCCAGCCAGTTTATGTTATGTGTAAAATCCAAAGGGGACCAGCGACCCTGGGCCAGCTATGTCCCCAGCAACGTCTCCCAGCCATAAAGGCTCACATCCGTGGTCAGAGTGAGCCATTCCAGCTCCCTAAACACACACCCCTTAGCTAGTGCTGGGGAAACCCACGACCTTAGGGAGAGCCTCACATTGGGGGGAGGGGGTACTCGAACCTGAAAAGAAGAGGTGCTGTGCTTGCTCCTTTGGTACAGGAATAGGAACCACTGGAAAGTTCGAGCATGGAGCCTCGCCAGGGAACAAGATCTATACAAGATATCATCTTTCCTAGCAACTGAGACAAGGTGACGATGGGCACACGCCATTCCTTCTGCACCTGGTTGACTAGCTTCACTAGACTAGCCCTGCGATCCTGGGACAGGAAGACCATGCCAGAAGAGGAATCTATGACCACTCACAAATGCAACACCATGGTAGAAGGTCACATATGGCTCTTCTGGAAATTTATGGCGAACCCATACCTCTGCAGTGTTTCCACCGTCAGGCCAAGATCTTGAAGGGACCGCTCTGGCGACTCTGCCTGAAGGAGGATATTGTCTAAATAGCAATGAAGTCTGATGGGAACCGTTCTGAGGTGAGCTGCTGGGGCCGTCAGGAACCTCGTGAAAGTCCTGGGAGCCAAAGCAAGTCCAAAATGAGAAGTCCTATACTGGTTATGGTTACCAGCATAGGAAAACCTAAGGAACTTCCTGTGCTCAGGGACAATTGATATATGAAGGTAAGCCTCCGTCAAATCAATGGAAGCTAAGTAGTCACCTTCCCTGATACCTTCCAGAATAAAATGAAGGGAGGCCATCTTAAAACCATTTGTATACTAGGTAGCGGTTCAAGCTTTTAAGGTCAAGAATCGGCCTCCATCCCCCAGACGACTTCAGAATCACAAAGAGGTTAGAATAAAACCCCTTCCCCCTGTCCTCCTGTGGAACCAATTCTACCGCCTGGATCTCCACCAGATGATCAATCGCCTGGCGCCTGAGCATACACTTGGAGGAGGTAAACGTACGAAAAGAATTAAGAGGGATGGAAAGGAATTCCAGTCGCAGGCCAAATTTTACAGTATTAAGGACCCAGAGATCCAATGTAATACTCTCCCATCGGTCAGCAAACAACACCAACCGACCACTAATAGGGGCCATCCAAACCCGTTCATTTATTCCAGCGGAAGGGGCATCTGCCCCCTCCGAAAGGGCCACTTACTCTGGGGCTGACATTGTGACCTATCCCTGTAGGAAGACATATCCTGCCCCCTGTCCTGACGTGGCTGAAAACTTATAGGTTGATAATGATAGTCCATGACAGTACCCCTACGGGGTGCCCTGCATGTATATGGTGTGCACTTGTGTTCCTGCTTCTTAGTTGTGGCAAGCAAAATCTTATGTTTGTTCTTATCCTCAATAAGGATTGGGTCCAGAACCTCGCCAAACAGCTTATTCTCCGCCTATGGGCCAGCCATCAGCTTCCACTTCGCTTTGGCATCCCCTGCCAATTTTGGACCCACAACATCCATCTAGCTGAAACAGAGGAAGAAAGAGCCCTGGAGACAAACTTAGTGGCGTTCAAGATCGCATCCACCGAAAACTGGGTTGCAGCAATGACCTTGCTGATGTCCTGAAGCAGCCACACATCATGCGCCGGAACACACTCCTGCATTTGTTCAAGCCACATCAGTGTGGTGCGATTGAAGGAGGATGCAGAAGAAGGGGCCTTAATCGCCCACGTTGCCGCGAGGAAGGTCTTACGCAACTCTAGTTCAGTCCTCTTATCTTCTGCCTTTTGGTTGTCCACCACATCACTCGCCACCATCCACTTCTGGAATCTGTAATGCCTGGGAGAAATTAGGCTCCATATTATAGAAGCATCTGTCATTCCCATCTGGGGTGGAGAAAGTACCTGGCTTGGCCCACTGCTTCTGAATCACATCCAGAAACAGTTTTGGTGCAGGGATCTCCTCCTTCTACGCCAGGGATTCTACAAAGAAACACTTTTTCTTTGGCGCTGCCTTGGAAGTCGAAGCCTCAGCCATGGACTCCTTCTCCTTCTGTTTGTCAGCCTCCTTCTTGACAACTGCAGTGCTCCTGGCTTTAAATAGCAAGGAATGGAACAAATTAGGAGGAAACAAACCAGCAAAGGCAGGAATATTCGGTGCCAAACTTTCATCATCCGAAAGCTCTGTCTTCTTTTGCTCCTCCTCTTCCTGGAGCGAAACCTCGCTCCTCAGAGAAGGAGAAACTTCCTTCTGTGCCCTGTCTGGGCGAGCGACCAGATCCTGGATACGTCTGCGCTTGGCCTCCATCAGTTCTGCCTCTGCCTGGTCAGAGGAGTGACCCTGGAGGGCTATGCCCTGTGCAGTGGCTTGATGAATAAAAGATTGAATGTTATCAGGTAAGCCCTCAAATTCACCAATCGCATGACTAGGCCCAGGCCTGGGTGCCAGTTGGTGCCTGTGACCTGGTTCAGGAACATGTGCAATGAATGGAAACGGATGGCACTCTTCTTTCTCGTCCTCAACCTCCGAAAGTGGAAGTGAGATGGAACTGGCGATCTAGATATCCTTGGAGGAGAAGGGGAGGAAGAAAATGGAGCTGCCCTTAGGAGCAGGGGTGGGGGATCTCACAGAAGACAAAGGGGCCTTATCTCCGCCTCCCTGCCTGGACTTCTCCCCATCCCCTGTATTCCCTTGCCTGGAGGGAGCTTGTTTCATCAGAGGAGGAGGATCCTGAGGGGAACCCTTCCTCTTCTTGGAGCTCTTTGATGGAGCTGCAGAAGCTACCCCAGAGGGACTCTCACTGGGGGAATCAGCCATGACAATGTAGCAATACTCTGTCCAAATGCCTCACTCTGCCCAGTTTGGTAACCAGCACGGCAATCTGCGACTGTTCTCACCGGAGCCGGCAGTCACAATGAGCCTTGTGGCAGTGAAAAGGGGGAAACAAAATGGCCACCGACCATGTGATCCAGTGGAGGTCCAAACAAAATGGACGCTGCCTCATGGTCACTAACAAAATGGCCACCACCATGAGGACCTTACCAAGATGCCACCACCCAGGAGCTCTCCCAAAATAGCTGCCCCCAGGGCCCCATACTCATGAGGGAGTAGCTTCCAGGAAAACAAATGGTGTCAGCAAGCAAACAATGCTGAGAACAACCGGATCAGCCACACTGCCTTCAGCAAGTCCAGCCAGTGCTGATCGCGCCCTCCTGTTGGCCCTCCTGTTGTTCTGGACTGTTTGCAGCCACACAGAAGCGCCGGTGCTCCACAAGCATGCCCCTCGCACCAGAAGCTTCTACATCCACCTACTGCAGCCTCTAAGAACCAGTAGCAAGGCAGGGAAACCTCCCTGGCCCGCGCACAAGCCAGCAATTGGTAATCAAGCCGGACAGAACTGCAATAGAATTCCGATAGCTGGCACAGCCAGCTGCTTGCCTCAAGGACCCTGGAAACCTTCAGCAGGACCTAGCACAAACACTTCACCACTCTAACAGTAACCAGGTCAGATAGTAATATTAAAAGGAAAAAAAATACCTTAAAGCAAACTAACTCTAACAAAAAACCAATTTTCACTCACAGCAATAAATTTTACATCTTATCGGGCAAGATTGAATTGGAATTGGAAGTCAGTAGGGGAAGCTGGAAGCGTGGCTTCAATTCTGAATCAGTCTCTTGGGGAAATAAGGATTGAACAACCCACTCCTGCGCCATCAGCTGGAGAATGATTCCATTTCTTAATTGGGATAGAATCTGGACTAGAAATCTTTGTGCTTTAAGCAAAAGGTATCATGGCATTTCTTGGTTATTCAGACAATTCTGGATTCTAAATTTTTGTATTAAAAATACAAAACATAATCCAAGTCCTTCTAATCCATATTTTACCAATTTGGTGTAGTGGTTAAGGCGTAGAAACCAGGGGACCAGGGATTTAGAAATATATGAGTTTCAGAAGAATGTTGTGTGTGTATGTAAGTATAGCTTTTAGATTATTTTAATTTGCATTTCTAAAAATTTTTTTTATCACAAACAATAACTTCTTTATTCAAAGCCTTGAATTATATACCTGATGTGCACATCTTATAATCAATACGTTCTCCTCGCCAATATTCCAATGGTTTGATACGTGTTCTTTTGGACCGCCGAACGATGGGTATGCTTGTAGGCAATACTACTAGAAAGGAAATATACAAAAATATGAATGTGAGTGTATACATATATACCAGTGGTGAGTTTCAAATTTTTTTACTATGAGTTCTGTGGGCATGGCTTATTTTGTGGGCATGGCTTGGCAATCGTGTGACTAGGTGGGAGTCGCTTGTCGGTCATGTGACTGGGTGGGCATGGCCAATTTAGCTGTCCATTTTGCCAATTTAACAGTCCATTAAACAACACACAGCAGTGCCCTTTTCTATTCTTTTTAAGACCGCGTGAAGTTTTTGCCCTAAGTTTTTTTTTTTTTTTACTGGGGGGGGGGGGGAAGTTGGCATTATCTCTCCAGCCGGAATGGCATCCACCATCTTGGCACCCTCCTGCCATGAGGTATTCATGCCTCCGGAATTCTGAGCCACGCGGGCTCCACTTCAGGTCTCCTCGCACAGTGGTCTCTGGAGCACAAGTGGCAGCCGACGATCAAACCGGCTCCCATAGATTGCTGCACATGGTGCTTTTCAAAATGGCAGCCGCCAACTCAGCAGCCCGAAACTGCTCAAAAACGTTGTCGACAGTCCCCAATACAGCAAGAGATCGGTCTTGCAACAACTATGCCACTGGAATTGGGCACTCCCAGGAGGCCTAACTCACGCTGATTTTCCAGATTGCACCATGTGGAACCACCACTCCACATGGCTCCTCCAAAATGGCAGTCGCCGGCTCTGCCATCCAAAGAAAGTGCCGAGGGAATAGAAGGCCATCCCTGGTACAGCGGGAAATCGCCCCTTGGATCGGTCTGACTCTAGGCACTCTCCTAATGGAGGCCACCCAAAACATCCGCAGGCCCGTTGTGGTTCATTCGGCTCCACGTGGCCTCTGCACCCCAAATCGACTGCCCAAGCGGCCCCACCATATGCTCCACTTCCCTGGTAAGAAGTTATAGCTTCCACACACACAATGGGAACCCAAGGGAAGAAGGAGGCAGGAAGTCCAGGAATGGGTAAGAGGAAATTTTGGAAGCAGTAGGAAATAAATCAGGAGCCAAGGAAAATAGGTCTCTCTATAGACGAGAATGAGTTGAAACTGCAGCCAAGCAGAGAGAGCAGAGAGGCATGGCTTCAATTAAAACTCAGTCTCTGGGCACATTAAGAAAAGATGATAATCATTCCTGGACCCTCCCACAAGCTACTCCGGAGAATATCTACCTTACATGTATGTTTCTTGTATTTATATCTCAGTGGGAAGCAACCAATCCCCCGCCCCCAAATAAAATATTACTCCCAGAAAGGCTTATTCCACATTCCTGCCAGATAAAAGATAATAAGCGTCTAGAAAGTCTGGCTCCATTCACAATCAGGGAATCATCCAAACCCTATTAGAAATACAAATCCCATATTGCACAAACCCCAAAACTTCAAAAACATAGAACCATATAAGAATTCTACCTTTTATCCAGTTTATTGTTCAGCTGACCCAGAAACAAACTGCTGAATGTCACTTTGCAAACCTCCTTCTAAGCAACTTATCAATTTAAAGCAGGTTTTAATTTAAAGTTTGCAGCAAACTTGTGGACTTCAACTCCCAGAATTCCACAGCCAGGCATGCTGAGCTCTGATTTTCCCTTCCTCCCTCCCTCCTCTCTCTCTCTCTCTGTCTCACTCTCACTCACTTTTACATTTTAAAACCTCTTTTCTCTTGCCTGAACCGGCAGGGGAAAATACTTTTGAAAAAAAAGTTTCTGACGAAGCTTCTGATGGGAGAACAGGTTCAGGGGTGTGGCCAGGCCATCATTACTATCGGTCTTAACCGGTACACCAGATTTTCACTACCTCTTCTGGCATACCGTACCGTACCAGGAGGAACCCACCTCTGATGTACAGAAAATACAGCGCTACGGTGGCACAATAGTTAGAGTGCAGTACTGCAGGCTACTTCTGCTGATCATGGCTGCCAGAAGTTTGGCAGATGGAATCACCAGGCTCAAGGTTGACTAATCCTTACATCCTTGCGAGGTGGGTAAAATGAGGAGCCAGATTGTTGGGCGCAATATGCTGACTCTGTAAACTGCTTAGAAGGCTGTAATGCACTGTGAAGCAGTATATAAGTCTAAGTGCCAGTGCTAGGATCAGGACACGCTAATTCTTCTGCATTAAAAACCCCAAATCACAAAAATATGGTTTAAATCATACAAATTACAAAATATTTATTACTTATGATATACTGACATATTTAATAGATTAATTATTTGTAAAATAGATAAGCATAAATCAAGTTATTTCAAAATAAGATTTTATAATATCAAGTATAGTTTTAAAACATAGCATAATGGTAGTTTATAAAACATTTATGCCTGCGTTAAGAAAAGGGAACAGATGGAAAATCAATCATAGGCTTACTAATACTCAAAGTCCTAAGTTCAGCATTCATATCTGAAGTGTTTAAAAAGTGCAACATCCCACAATTTTGCTTACAATTTGCTCAGGATCAGAACCAATAATGTGAGAATCCATGAAATTAAATTTGCTTGGTCTAGACATAATAGTAAGCATAATGCACAGACACCCCCCCCCCCCCAAATAAAACCACACAATCATAACAATTTATATGAACCACAATAGTATCCAACCCTACATAGAAAACAAAACAAAACATAAATATTTACTTTGACAAGTTACCTGAATCAGAATCATCCGTATTAAATTGATTCAATTCTCTTCTAAACATTTCATTACTATGAAGTGGTAGTAGTGGGTTACTAAAAAAAAAAATGTTTACATCAGATTAAATCATTATATTAGTAAATTATACTACCTGATGTAGGTATAAATCAGGGAACATAACATCTCCATGTATAATACTCTATTTATAGAGTGATAATTGTTTATCTTCCCAAGCTGTTTTTCTTTTAAAAGGGCAGTACAAAAATAAAATACAGAAATGGTATCAGCAAGCTTATGTCCTAAGAGGGCAGTGCAATACTGAAATCTATTTCTCTGACATCGCTTCATGGCTTTCCCTGAAAATTACTCCAGAATGTTCCATATGATTCTAAACCAATCTTTTTCAAATGTAACAACTCTTAAGATCTGGGATTTCAACTCTACAAATTCCACTGCCAGTGTGAAGCAGTTTCATCAGAGGAAATGTTTACTTGGATTATGTGGCACATTCACTATTTTTTCATCCTAGGTTCTTGAATATGTTTTGTGTTACTATGAATCAGACATGGAGAATAATATTCAGAAATAAATACTTTCCATAGAAAATCAGCACATATTTACTGTACACATAACAGTATCTCAGAGAAATATGTTTAATTCAGTCTGAATAAAATACAGTATTTTTCGGAGTACAAGATGGACCTTCCCCCCCAAAAAAGAATATGAAAATGTTGATGCATCTTATACATCAAATACAACCATTTTTTGGCTTCCAGAAGCCAGTGGGGTGCAACCAGGATGACTTCCACTCACTCTACTATTAACTTTCTGACCACACTTGAGATGAGAGGTAGAGGGGGAAAGGCATAAACTAGTTATTGTGGCCAGCATCCCTGCCCTCCGCCCTTGCTGTCCAAAATTGCGAGAAAAATCTCAGCAACTGAGTTTGCTGGGGTGGCAAAAAGATCCACTGAATCTCCGTGCTATGGTCTGAAACAGCTCTGGCTGCAGGCACCACTCCGTGTGGTCAACCATGACCCTGCTCAGCCAATCCGCTTGCACATTAGCAGTGCCGGAAATGTGTTCTGCGCGGAGGGAGATTACGTGGTTCTCCGCCCAGAGCCCCAACCACTCTGCCTCATGCATCAAGGCCTAGGAGTAGGTGCCGCTCTGATAGTTCAAATGCACCTTGGTGGCTACATTATCCATCAATAGCAGAACCTAACAGCCAGAAACATGCTGTTGGAAGCGATGGAGGGCCAGGTGGGCAGCCCAGGGCTCTAGTGAATTGATGCTATTCTCCAGTTCATCACGTGACCAATGGCCCTGGGTAAATTGAGTCTGGGCACTCCAGCCGAACAGGCTGGCGTCTGAGGTGACTGTGACTAGGTCGGGCTCCTTGAACAACGTCCCCTTCTTATAGCCGAGGAAGTCCACCAATGAAGTAAATGGATGACTTTGCGAGGTACCTGTATGGTCGAATTGGACTTGCTGATGTGGGTCCACTGATGCGGAAGCAGAAACCATTGGAGTGGCCGAGAATAAAACTAGCCCATGGCACTATCTCTATACAGGATATCATCTTCACCAGCAGACAATATCAAGGGCATGGCTGGGTGAGAACCAATGCCTCTATGCTGTTGAGGCTCCTGGGAGAGGAACACCGTGAAGAGGATGGTGTCTATCACTGCTCCCAGGTGCAGGAGCCAGTGGCTGGGAAGAAGATGGCTTTTCTCCACATTGACGGAAAAGCTGTGGTCCTTAAGTGACTGGATTGTGATGCAGAGATCCCGTAGCAACTGACAGTGGGATGACAATTGAATAAAGATATTGTTCTGGTAACATTGCTTGCGGATGGGGGCCACCCTGAGCCGCACTGCAATCACTGCCAACAACTTGGTAAATAGCAGTAGACTTATATACCGCTTCATAGGCCTTTCAGGCCTCTCTAAGCGGTTTACAGAGAGTCAGCATATTGCCCCCAACAATCTGGGTCCTCATTTTACCCACCTCGGAAGGATGGAAGGCTGAGTCAACCCTGAGCCGGTGAGATATGAACCGCTGACCTGCTGATCTAGCAGTAGCCTGCAGTGCTGCATTTAACCACTGCGCCACCTTGGCTCTTATTAAATGTCCTGGGAGCCAATGACAGGCCAAAGGGAAAGGCTCTGTACTGGAAATGATGGTTGGCAAAGCAAAACTGCATCAAGAGCATCCTCAGATTCCCGCCGTGAAATAGAACCGATGCCAACCGCCATTTAGACCTAATATAGGCCTGCCAGAGGTGAAACTAGGCCAGCCATCAAGAAGTTACATTGGCAACAAAGCCCCTAGAGGCAAATTTGGCAGCATTTAAGGTGGCATCAGCCGAGAATTCCATGGATGCCACCATCTTATTAATGTCTTGGAGGAGCCTACCGTCCTTCGGGGAAATCCTGGCCAACACCTGACGAAGCCACATTAGAGTGGCTCTATTGAAAAATAATGTGGCCGTAGTAGCCTTAATAGCCCATGTGGAGGCTAGATAGGCCTTTCGGAGGAAGGTTTCCACTTTTCTATCCTCTACTTTTAATCCTTCATGACATCAGAAGGGATGAGAACTGAAGACATAAGGGATGCTACAGGAGCATCGATCTAGGGCCACTGAAGGAGCTCCTCTAGCTCAGGCGCAACTGTATAAAAATGTTTGTCACTCCTGCTAGGGGAAACGACAGAGACAGGCTGAGCCCATTGGCATTGGATCAGGAGAAAAGAGAAGGTGCGTCTGCGGCGGGAGGAGCCTCAGCAGGTATTAGAGGGGTGACAAGCACTTGGCGGCTCCTGAGGGGTCCTGGGTCTCTTTGGGAATCAGATTCCATGTGGAAGTGAGAATCACCACCGTCTGAACTATCCAAAATTCTGATACACAGACTAGGTGGGCGAAGCTACATTCAGAGTATAAGACACACCCAGGATTCAACCGGAAGTTCTCCAGCCGAACAGACAAGGGGTGTGTGAGCTTCATATGGACCCTTGTCTGACAAACCTATTCCAAGATACTTTTTGGATCAGAACCCCTTTGTGGGGTGGGGGAGCGAAGAAGGGGCATCTCATCAGACCCAGAGGGAGGCAAAAAGTTCCTCACAGGTCAGAGATTTGCTCTCTGAATTGGAGTAGGGGTGGCAGCATGGCAACATGGCTGCACTAGAAGCTGGCTTCCAGCCAAAGCAACTGAACAGAAGTGTGCAGGAAATGAGATGAAAGACAGGTAAGAAGATTAATTTAACCCACAGTCATAAATTAAATTTGGAAAACGCAAAGAATTTTGAGAGTTCAAATAATATTAATAGACAGATCTGGATTTTGGCAAAAGGAAAGAAAGGGAAAATGGAGGGTTCAAACACTAGCCCCCAAAAAAGGTTATTTGTTTGAAACAATTCGGACAGAAAGGGAAAAAGCAGATAAGTGACAAACCCACTCAAATACAAACTCTAAATTTGGTTTTGGATTTGAAATAAACCAAATGTTCCGAGGGATTTATTTCATCTGAACCTCTTCCAACTAATATATCTTAAGCAACACCAATTAATGAGAGATGAACTGCAACAAGAGAGAAAAATCAAGAAAAAAGCACTATGTTCTCACTTATAACCTAATCTTGATTGTACAGGAAGTTTTAATTAACCAACTGCCATAAATCAGAATTTGGAAAAGCAGGAAACAAAGAGAAACATACCCAAATCTGGCTGTTTGCAACTTTGTTCCAATTAATATATATAACCAACCAGAGGTGTAAGGTACCAAGGGAAAAATAATAACAAAATCAAGAACTGGGAAACTACAAAGTTTTCTTCTTTTTTTTCCTGCAAAAGATCAAGATGATTCCAGCTTCTCTTCCATTTTTATATTAATTGGATTAGATAAATTTAAGGTGGACCAGAACCTCAAAATAAGATCTGTATAACTAACTGTAATTTTGGAACTAGACATAACAATAAAAGACCAAGATTGCTCCCGTCGCTCTTCCCCATAGCAGCTGAAGTAGATAAATTTAAGGTGGACCAGAATTCTGAAAGAATTGTATAACTAACTGTAACTTTGGAACTGGACATCATGGAAAGCTGGGAATTTGAAGAACTATGTGAAATTATAAAAAATATGCATAAATCATTAAAATCAAGCCGAAATAGAATTCTGAATCCAGAGAAACAGGTCTTTAAAGAAGAAAGGAAAGAAGAAAGGGAAAAGATAATGAAGGGATAGAAATGGTGGGAAATAAAAAGCAGATATAAAACTCGATTGGGCTTGGCAGTAGTATAGGGAAAATGGTAAAGAGGGAATGTGTCCCAACAAAACAGACTAAAAAGGAGATAAAAAAGCAGACAAAAGAGGTTTCGGAGGTTGACAGTGGCATAGGGAAAACTGAAGTAGGAAGTTATGCCCCAACAAAGAGAAATATAAAAGATCCTTTTGACGGTGGAGTGGAGAAAATTGAAGAGGGTGTCAAAACCAAGAAAAGGGAAAAGGCAGGAACAGAGAAGTGGGACAAAAGATTTACTGGGGAAAAATCAGACAACTAGAAATTGTTATATGGGAAAATATAAAGCTAAGATAAAGGATTTATTCCTAAATATGACAATAAAATGGAGTTTCTAACTGATTGAATATGATAATGGAAAGGTAATTACATAAAGGTTAAAAATATGGAATATGGACAAATATGAAACTGATATGGGGAGATTGTATAGCAGAGGTTTGTTACTCACTTTTTTACATGATAATTAAACTGAATTGCTAATTGATTGAATATGACAATAGGACAATTAAGCATGGGTTAAAATACATAAACATGGACATGTATAGAATGTTAAGATGATGAACAAAGTGAGATGTGTACCATTTGTTATTCTATATAGTAGATTAAGGGAACTGTAATGAACATTGAACAATAAAGATTGCCATTTATAGACAATTAAGGGTAATCTAATCCAAGATAAGGAAAAATGGAGAGGGAACATGAAATATATTTACAATGAGAAGCTATTGAGATTTAAAGACAGAATTACAAATTGGGGGCATATAAGGATGTATAATTATATAAATATAATGATGAGAATAGCTGCGAATTGTAACCAGGTATACATCTCGGCCAAAAATAGGCTGGGTAAGAGGGGGTGGGGTTAAACCACAATGACTATATATGTATACTTTTTTGTTCTCTTTTCTAATAAAAAGGAGGAAGATATATGTCAAAATTAAATATGTATATTGAAAAGGAATTATAAACACCATCAACATAAAATGGAGCTCACTCATTAGGGGGGAAAGAGGAGGAGGGGGGAGGAATGGAAAGAGGAGGGGAAAGAGGAGGAGAGAAAGGAGGAATGGAAAGAGGAGAGAGGAGAATGAGAGAGGAAGGGGAAGTGGAGAAGAATGACAGAGGGAAGAAAGGAGGTAGAGTGGGGGGGAGAGGGAGAAGAAAGTGATGTATAAGGTACAAATATGGTGTATGGAAAGTAGAAAATAATTGTTTTGGGGAGTTGATGATAAGGTGAATTGATGTAAACATTTAATAATACAATATGATGTTGGCTATGTAATAATATACATGTGATTATATGTTATGCAAATGGAAAAATAAAACTTTTTATTAAAAAAAATACGCACCCAGATTTTCACACTCTTTTTGGGGGTAAAGGGTGTGTCTTATACTCAGAAAAATACGGTAAGGAGAAATTAATCAGTGGAACAACTTGCCTCCAAAAATTGTGGGTGCTCCAACATTGGAGGTTTTTAAGAGATTGAACAAGTATTTGTCTGAAATAGTATTGGGTTTCCTGTTTGACCAGAAGGTTGGATTAGAAGACTTCTGAGGTTCTTTCCAACTCTTATTATTTTTCCAAAACTTATTGTTTTTCAGGTAAATTTTATATATTCCTTTTTTGTTACCATTCTCCAATCATCTCTTATTTAATTTAGCTTATTTTAGCACTTTCTACAACTGTTGCAAAATACCTAAGGATTCCTAGGGATGAATACAAGCATATAAGTATTTTAAATAAGAGGGCAAATGGCTGTAATGGGTATATATACTCAGGGATTTAACAAAGCCCCATAGCAGTCTAAGAAGTCTGTACCTCAGAAGAGGTCTAGACAGTTGGGTTGAGTATTCATGTCTTTATTTGAGTATTCATGTCTTTGCTCAAAGCTGATTAATAGTCCCCATGTGCAAAATTGCATTGCATTAAAAAAAGTAGTATTAAAACATACTTATACAATCATAACTTACTGTGATAAAGATCTTTGATTGTTTTGTGGTGTTACTGAAATATTTGAATGTTTTTTTGCCACATGCTGCTCACAAGGATCTTCTTGATATAATACATTATTCTGAGGCTTTGGTAAAGAAGTCTCTCTTATTTTTTGAGGTGTTGCTCTCTTCAACTGAATGTTTAGCTTAAAAGGATGAAGATTCTTCTTTTTATCTAAATGTTCCTCTCCATGAACATCTTCAAGGCTGTGCTTTGAAACCAATTGCCTGTTCCCCTTCCCCATAGGTCCAGCAGGGGCTCTTTTCTTTTTCTTTTGAGTCCCTGATTGTTTTTTGGATGGTAACTGCTTTTTAACCGGTGTATTATGGCATGACTCCTGAGCTACAGGAATAAAGCTTGATATAGAATCTGAATTGTCAGAATAAATATCTGTATTCTTAGATTGTATGCAGTCCTTTAATGATAGAGTCAAGACTGTGCACTCCTCTTGTTTTTCATATTGCACTTTTCTCAGTGTGGTCAGCTTATTCCGTGATAAGCTTTGTTTTGTAATTTCTAGAGGTTGTATCTGGACTGATAACTTTTCATCTGCTTCTAGTAAAGGTATACGGCCTTTTGCTCGCTTTTTACTTTTTGGGTAACTTGTGTTATGCATTTCTCCTGAATTTTTATAGTTATTTTTAGAATGAATTTGTTTCCTTGTTTCTTGGGAGGTAACAAAAGGCATAACCAATTGTGATTTATTATTCTCCACAGCTATTACTTGTTTAATTCTTGAAGCATTTTGAAATCCATCAAAACATCTTTCACCAACATTACATAATGTTGTATTTATTTCCTGTAATGGAATTGGCATAACTGTTTTCTTCAACTCCCTTTTATTTTTTTTTATTTTATTATGCTGCTTAGCTTCCTGGCTTCCTTCAAAGGAAGCAGATGTTGTCCTTTTCGGTAGTTTTTGTTTCTTTCCAGAAATTGAAAACCAAGGTGCAGAAGACAAATATTCCTCTATTAAAAATTCACATTCCTCTTCTGGCTTTAAAGTAGCTGAACTTCTAGGGAGGAAAGACAGGTAAGTGGATTCTTAAATATCACTAAGAGTCAGTTCAAAGAACTTCATTTTCAAAATAAACTTCAGATATTTTACAAAACTATTTTCTGATAAAAACTAGTGCTAGTAATCATTTCTCTGTTTTATTATGTCACACAAACTTTAAACATGTTGACTTTAACCCAACAAAGGGAAAGTCTTCAAAGCAAAATTCTAATATATGTGTGTATGTATCTGGCAGATCTAGACTTTTTTAAGACTAATCTTAGAAAAATAATCCTGAATATCTCTTACAGATCTACACAGAAAACTTTGTCTGGCTTCTTCAAAGTGCCAACAATCTCAAGCCTCTTATTAAGAAGTAAAATCATAACCAAGAGTTTCACCTAGAAAGGAACTGCACACTGCACATTCTCTGTACTTTCCAGAGAACAAAATAATTGGTTTAAAACTGCAACAAGCAAGTCAACTGATTTTACACAATTCTGCAGTTTTCTCAAATCAGCCACTTTAAATGTCACAGCAAAAATATGACTTAACTTGCTTTCAATTACAAATGCTAAAATTGTCTATACAAAGCTACTCTTTAAATAATGGCATTCTTATTTCATTGTACTGTCAGAACACTTTCATGGCTTATAATGATAGCATAGGTCCTGACCTTTTTATTTGTTTAGAGGCTGGTTCTTCAATACATAACTCCTCCATTTCTTTTCCTGAAGAAAAGCCCTTAGACTTGCTAAACCTTTGGAATAAATAAAATCTCTCTTCATTAAAGCACACTTTGAATGGGAAGATAATTAAACAATTCATTCAAGATTTTCTAAATGTTGTTTTAAATTTCCAACTCTTAAAGAAAAACTATGCACATAGTATTTTCTCAAATCCTTTGGGAAATGTACTAATTATCACCCACCTCCTATAACTTTGTAAGACACTGTGCGATAAAGGCAAGACCAGGGGTGAAATCCAGCAGGTTCTGGAGAACCGGTAGTGGAAATTTTGAGTAGTCTGGATAATCGGCAAATGCCACCTCTGACTGGCTCCAGAGTGGGGTGGGAATGGAGATTTTCCATTATCCGTCCCCTGGAGAGGGTGGGAATGGAGATTTTGCAGTTTCATTTCCCTGGAATGGGGTGGGAATGGAGATTTTGCAGTATCCTTCCCCTTCCACACCCACCAAGCCACACCACACCCGCCACGCCACGCCCACAGAACCGGTAGTAAAAAAAAATGAATTTCACCACTGGGCAAGACTCAAGCTCATCCCACATTAATTACTAAAACATAGGGGAAACCAATTAACCTTTCTCTCAGCAATTGATCATTTATCTACACTAACTTGGATAGGAATAAAATACTTTCATTAAATATTTAACAATTGTATAAAGTAATTTACTGTTTTGCACATGATTTCTCTCCTTCTTCTCCACTTTCTACTAGAAGGGCTGGTGATCCTAACACCTCAAAATCATTTTCCTTAATTTCTTCTGATAGCTTGCCGCCTATTTTATTGATAAGACAGAGAAAATACATGCAATATTATCATTCTTTTTGAGATAAGAAAAACAATTGTCTCCTGCTATTACCTTAAATTACAACTGACAAATTTATTGGAACATTTTTCTTAGGATAGATTTATTTTCTTATGATTTAACTTATGTATAACTTTCTTGCAATACTTACACCTGGAGGTCTTCTAGTCCAACCCATTGTTCAAAGCAGGAGCCTTATACCACCCCACCGAAATAATCATCCAGTTTATTCTTGAAAACTTCCAGTGATAGAGCACCCACAATTTCTGAAGGCAAGGTATTCTATTGATTAATTGCCCTCACTAACAGAAAATTTCTCCTTACTTCTAGGTTGGACCTCATTTTAACAAGCTTCCACTATTGCATCTTGTCCTAATTTCCCCCATGTTATTTCTTGTCCTGCTCTCATGTGCTCTAGAGAATAAGTCAATCCACTCTTTTTGGTGATAGATGCTTAAGTACTGGAAGACAGCTACCATATCCCTCTTAATGATTTTCTTTGATAGCCTAGCTATATGGTACTTGTCTACTTATCGTTCAGCCCAGGGATACATGCTCTGCCCTTTTGGAGATCTCCTGGAGGCAGCCATTATGTCCTGGCATCCACAATTCTTTAACACAGTCTGCAAAGTGTTAATGTAGCAAAACAGAACAGTTTGTCCCACTCCCATGTATCAGTGACCCAGAAGCAGCCACCATTTTGACCCAGAGGCAGGCATAGAAAAATGGCAGCTGCTTCCAGCACATAGTCCAGGGATGAATCCCAGGCTTCCATTACAGTCATGCAGCCCAGAGATGCATATCCTGCTCTCCTTCGCCAACATGAGGTTCAGAGATCTTCAAAAGGTATGGAGGAGACTGTAATGTCTGGTGGGATGGGAGCAATGGTGGGTTGCAGGTGGTAGGCCCCGGTATGGGTTTACCGGAGCCTGCCCGGAACACGGGGTACTGTTGCGGTACAGTGCTCTGGAAGGCCCACCTGCCCTTCCAAACTCCTTACCTGTGCTTTAAGCCTTTGACGCTTCCGCGCACAGCGCATGCGGCACCTACGCAACACTCCTCCGAGCAGCTGCATTGTCATGGAGGCTTGCGGAGGCATCGCAGGCAGGTACAACACATGCATGCGCCATATGCGCATGCGCATGTCACACACATGTCCATGTGGGTGACACCGGGCCCGTTCCAACCATACGAGTTGGAATGGGATCTGGAACCCACCACTGGGTGGGAGTTAAGCCTAAGGATTGCAGGGATCCAGTGGAAGCGGGAAAAAGCCTGTCGGATCTTGTAGGCAAAGGGAAAAGCTTCCTGGATGACCCAAAAATTGGGGTAGGGAGGCCTTTGGAAGGCAAGCCTGAGCTTGCACTAGGCTTCCAAGTTCTTCCCCAAACTCTGAGGTAGCCACTGTTCCACTTAATAACTTATATTTTTGATTTCCATCAATCTCCATATTGTGAGAACCAAGAAATATAGCCTATTGATCTATTAGATTCAATAAGTCCTGTGGATGATAGAAGGCCCCAGAAGAGAGAGATATGAACTAAAGTTTTCAGCTAGGATGATTTCAAAATTTACCAGAAATATTTGTAATTCTGCTGAACTGTTGCTCTGAGAATTTTTTTTGCAAAATATGCACTTGTATGGAATTGTTTAAAACAGGAAGAATGGAACTGTTGGAAATGAGGAATTGAAAGTAATGTATACAGGTGTCCATGGATAGTGACAGTTAGTGAAGTTGTGAATCATGTATGTGGTTAGAACAGTATAATGGATAGGGTTCAAGATCAATTCAGGGCTCTTTGATTTATAGCAGTCCTTTTAGCATTTGCTATTTCTCATTGGCCTGCTGCATTAATATGTTAATGAAGTGTTATTGCTATTATATCTTTTATATCTATTCCTTTCTAATGTTCCAAATTATTAGAAACAATAAACCTCTGATCTTAAAGTAAGAATTATTCCTTGTGTTGTTGCCTTTGTTTTCTATTGGAATTTTCCTATGACGATATGAATTGATGGTATTCTTCGTATGTCAAGAGGACATTTAAATATGTTCTAAAACGTTTGCTATAATGCCTTTTCAGATTTGGTCTAAAATAATCTTCCCATCCCATCTTCAACTTGTCTGATACTCTAATCGGTTGCCCAGTAGAGATAAGGTCTTCTACACTTTGTTTAGAGTGGTAGCTGGATTTATTCAACACAATTAACCTTGTACCTGGGCTTAATAGAACACATTTGTTATGTTCACATATCTTGCTGCTATATCTAAACAAATAAAGCATATGATGGCTTAATAAGATGGTCTGATTCAAAAAGTATGCTAAGATAGTAGGATACATAAATCACACTGAACAACAAACTACCTAACTGCATTTTTCCTAGAATAATGTGCAGTACATACATAGACAAATATTTTCTCATAATGAGAAATAGTATAGTTTGCCTATAGTGTGAAGAAAATGATTGATAAAGGGCTAATGGCAAGTTACTCTTAATTAAAATGAATGCTCCTCTCACAGATAATTTTGTAGTGCCAGAATTATGTTTAGTTGACTTGTGTTGAAAGTAGATTCAATTAAACAACTTATTTGCCAATAATGCATGTTAAACAATAGCAAGAGACGGAATTTTGTTTGTTTAATGAATTAAAAGTATTATCCAGCCTATCTGATGATAAAAGGAATGAAACAGGGATTAAAACCATCATTATTTCCACATTTTAAATCATATATATGATTTAAGAAGTTGTGAATGCCCCAACACTGGAAGTCTTTAAGAAGATGTTGGATAGCCATTTGTCTGAAATGGTATAGGGTTTCCTGCCTAGGCAGAGGGTTGGACTAGAGGACCTCCAAAGTCCCTTCCAACTCTGCTATTGTATATTGTATATATATTGATATCTCTTTTATTTAAAAATGCAATTAGCATTAATTTTAAATTTGTATGTTAAACATATTCAAATAACAAGTAATTCAAAAATATCACCCACCTGAAATATTTTCCATTTTGTGTGGTGATCGTAAGGAAATAAAGGTATTGTCCTTTTCAAACTCCAACTTGGTCTGTTTTTTCTGATAATCAGAAAAAAAAGACATGTTGTTAACACAATAAAGTCACTGAATTTTTCATATCTAGAACAGATACCAATAGTCTTTGATTGAGACACTATTCTTACACTCATAACTTTCATCATTGTTACAACTATCAATGGTTACTAAACAATGCAGTCCCTAAATAAGAATTACCTAGTGTTATGATTATATGGAGGAACTATTGGTTGTCTTATATGGAGCAATTCTTATATTTTCAACACTATAGATCTAACCAAATTATCATGGGATTGAAAATGTCTGCCTTCGGAGAGTGGAATATTTCTGTAGCAGGTTTTGAGCTATGGTGGAAAGACTATAAAAACAATTGGATCCCTAAGAATGTTGGGATATAACTGGGAAATTCATATCATATAGCTCAACCCCGGTGATATCCCATGAGCAAGAATAGAATTGCTGATTCATAAGAAAACCCTAACTGAGCTGCAGAGAATCTAGGAGAAAGACTTGAAAACAGCCAACATTTCGTACAACAAAGGAATCTCAAGAAGGTGGAACTCCAAGAATTAGACATCATAAAAGTAATACTAGCCTGTTACTTAAAGCTTCTGCAAAAGTACTTATGAAGCATATAGGGCTTAATTAACTATACCTGACCAATATTTAAGAGTTCCTTAAGACAAGATCTATTGCATTGTGATTTCACATCCTCTAATTAAATTAGCAACTAACCCATTAGAACATGGTAATGTTTTTCCACGTTTTTACAGGTAGTCCTCGACTCACAACAATTTGCTTAGTGACTGAGGAGGAGCCAACGTCACGACGGTACGGACGTGCAGTCTCGATGCTCGGAGACCACCACCAATACTTTCGCCGCTAGGTGGTCCAATCGGACCTAAACCGTCCCGAAGAGACAGTGAACAGGAACATTACGTCTTGCTGACCTCAGGGACCCAGCAAAGTCCCTGATTGATCCAAGAGGAGATTTTCAAGCTGGCGACAAAAGGCAGCCTAGACTGATGAAGTTGGGATGGCTCCGGAATGAAAGGAAACGGAAAGAGAAAGTGTGTCCATCTGGTGAAGAATCCTTTCTGTTTTGAAAAAGACTGCCCCAAAAAACTTTTTTTATGCTAAATTAAATCCTTAAGCAGAAGCAGAAGTAAGCGGCGAAATTGACCTGCATTGGATTGTTTTGGATAGTATGCTTTTTTTTTTCTTTTGTAATTACACTTTGTGGATTATGCTTGCAACTTTTTCCCCCCTCTCCTCTTCTTAAAGTGAACAGACCGGTTTTTTTCTTCTTCGACTTTTTCTTGCTTTACTTTTTAACTTAAGGATTAAAATCTCCTTCTCTACTCTAACAAAAGTTTGTATTTTTGCTATTAAACTCCATTCAATAACTTTGTTTCCCTTAAACCTGAGACAACATCAGAGAGTGAAAGGAAGCAATACTGCCACTCGGAGGCTAGAGTTTCTGAAACTACGCATTCATTCCTGTTTCTCCTTTCTCCTCTCTGTACTTCAAAATTCCGTAATTAAAAGTGATAAGAGCCAAGTGCACGAACTTTGAGAGCCTTATCAGCACTGGGAGAGTGGGGGGAAACGGACCCTCTTACATATATATATATATGTGTGTGTGTGTGTGTGTGTGTGTTTGTTTGTGCTGATAAATAAATAAAGGGAGACTAGTATAGATCTATTTCAAGCTATTTAGCTCTCATCAGCTAGCCATACCCTTACTGGGATTTGAACCTGGGCTATATTGCATACTAGGCATACTAGGCAGACAAACAAACAATTCACTTAGTGACTGTTGCAAGTTATAATAGAGCCGAGGTGGCGCAGTGGTTAGGGTGCAGTTCTGCAGGCAACTTCAGCTGACTGTTATGTGCAGTTCAGCGGTTCTAATCTCACCGGCTCAAGGTTGACTCAGCCTTCCATCCTTCCGAGGTGGGTGAAATGAGGACCCAGACTGTGGGGGCGATATGCTGACTCTGTAAACCGCTTAGAGAGGGCTGAAAGCCCTATGAAGTGGTATATAAGTCTAACTGCTATTGCTATTGCTAATAGCACTGAAAAAGTGACATGACCATTTTTCACACTTATAACTGTTATACTATCCCTGTGGTCATGTGATCCAAATCTAGACAAAATGACAAGGAAAATTCTTGAAATATGTTACAGAAGCTAATGGAAGGCAGGAGAAATCTTTCTAAATAATTTTAAAGCAGCAGTAAGCCCAACAGAATAAATAAAAGCAGTGAAATATAAATAAAGACATAAATTCTAATCCAATCTGGGTTGGTCACCAAGATCAAAAATTTAGTTTACCAAGTTTAGTTTGCTTTCAGATTCATACTGGAGCCCATCCCCATGAAACATCTCCCTACCAGAATGTATGTTTTGGGCTATTCTATGCATCATATTTATGTGATATCTTCCTACTGGGTGATTCTGTATTGATGGCAAGTGATTGGCTGTTGTTTTCTTGTGCCGTTCTTGTCTCTAAAGTGCCTAATAAGCTGGTGATAATCTGCATTCTTTTTAACAAGCCCGTTTCCCAGGCTTCAATCATTTCTCTATCTTTGTATCTGCACAGTCAACAGTCTTAACAGCTTTGAAATTGAATATAAGTTCGTTTATTGCAATGTGAGGCTACCATTGAGTTTGAGTCTCCTCATCTGACTGCTCACTTATGTTCTTGCAATCTGGTGGTTAGCTTGTTCCGAATGTTCTATATAATCACAAGGACAATCATACAGAGGATATGATAAATTCAAATATGTTTTGCACAACTGCTCTGGTCCACATATTAAAAAGTGAAATGCTTTATTAATAAGTAAAAAAACTTACTTCTTTGCAACAGAAGTTGCAATGGCATGGAACTTGATTCAAATTAAAGCTTGAGTTACGTGGCAATTTGGAACATTCTATAAATTGTTTGATACAGGCTACAATGAAAAAAAAGTAGTTTAAAAAAAGGGTACATAGTGCTATATATATTGTTCTCTTTTAGACAGCCAGGTAAAATTTATTCCACTAAAAGTATCCTCAACCTTGTTCTCTTAAGACTCAGAAGTGAAAACTTTCAACAAAGTAAGATTTCCCAAAAATCAAATGAGGTTTGAGTTAGTTTGGGATAGTAGTTAACGCTCAGGCTAGAAATCATAAAAACATGACTTCTAATCCTGACTTAGACCCAAAGCCAGCTGAATGACTTTGAGGTCACTCACTCTTTCTCAGCCCTAGAAAGGAGACAATGGCAAAAAAGTTCTGAAAAGTTTTGCCAAGAAAACTGCAGGGACAATTGCCAGAATTCAAAAACAGACTCAAAGACCCAAACAAAAAAGAGCTCACTGCCAAATTTTGAACAAAGCTTTACAAATGCAACTTCCCACCAATTTTAATGGCTTTGATCTAAAGAAGTTCTAAGTCAACTTCATATAAAAATTGGACAATCTGGTTCTTCAAATCTAGTTTTGTAAAAGCTCAGACTTCGCAGAGATTAAGTTGGCAGCAATTCTCTTCATATACTTCTATAAAATAGTATTTTTGCTGTCATATTGGCTTGATAGCTTTCTGAGAAGACTAAATTGTTGTTCTTAATGGCAAGAAACAGCTAGCTATATTCCACTGTTCAGTTAACCAATTGGCCCACAGGAAAAAATACTAAACAGAGATTACCCAAGCAATTTCTCCTTATGGCTGTTCCTCTTTCTCATAAAGAAACACAATACAGAGTTCTCTGAAGGGGAGAGGAAATCAGGCCATGCAAGAATTTATCATATTTCCACTTTTAAAGGATATTAAGTTTATATATTTCTCTTATGAATTTCAAAATTTCCCTATTTTTTTAAAAAAGTTAGATGCTTGAAGAAAGACAAAGCTTGAAAATGCTGGTGAAGTCTTCAACCCTTAATATAAGCTTTTCAAGGCATCAGAAAATGTTGGACTGAATATTAAGACTTTGAAATTGTTTCCTAAAGAATAAATATATGCTTGCAGGAAAAAAAGAATTGTTTTTGAGATTAGAATCAGAATAAGATTTATAATGTCATTTAGAGATATTTGAGGAAGTAAGCAGGGATCTGCATCAATCATAGCTATTAGATGTTACAGATGTCACAAAGATGTTATACAACAAGGTAAGTAAGAAAATTTCTTTGAGGAATATTTAAAGTCTCTGAATAAGAACATGTAGCCAGACGTAAAGAGAAAACTGGACAAGGTTTCAAAAATTAAAAAGGAAATAAACATAACTATCCCAGGCAACATTTGACAATTTCTCTTTATTAGATATAGAAAAAAAGACTTTTAAAACATTGAAGAAATCTGTAACAAGGAACAACAATCATCTGAATGGAGCAAAGACTGTCTTGTATAAAAGGAAAAAAGAGGACTTCATAGTTAATGTATTCAATCAGGAATATGGGATGTGTTGTAATTTTAGGTGGTTATTTTTGGATTTACAATGCTTTAATTAGTAAAATGTGGTATGCAAGATTTCTTACTTTTATTATGGTGTAAAACTCTTCAAATCCAGAATATTATAAGGCAGAAGCTTGTCCACCCCAAGGATAAAACACCCAAAAACAAATTGAGCAATGTGGTAAATGCAATACAATGCAGTGAGCCATGTGCAGATCTGTTCATTAGAGAAACAAAACAACCATTTCACAGATGCATTGCACAATATAGGAGAACAAACCCATCAGGACTAGATGCAGCAGTCCATTTGCATTTAAAAGACAAAGCCCACTCTTTTGAAGACAGTGAAGTCCACATTTTGAACAGAGAGGAATGCTGGTTTGAAAGAAGGTTTAAAGAGGCCATCTATGTCAAAATTGAAAAATTGAACAGCCTCCTCTCAACAGGCATCATCCATCTTCAGTCTACAAGAGTCTTTCAACAGTTCCACACCCATTTGCACCACCTGGGTGATCCTGACAACACAAATATACCTCCAGGTGGCCTTAACAACATACTAAAACTATGCAAATGATCAGCTGTCTGCAAGGAGTATAAATTCTTCCATTCCTTATCATGCATCAAGCTGAAGAAGCTTGTTGGATGAGAAGTGAAACGTCTTCAAAGAAAAACCAGAAAGTCCAGTTGCCTCTTGAAAAAACACCTTTGGGAGAACCATGATCTGGATGACTGAGAATCTCCATAAAGTTTAGATATTTTTTAAAAGAAAATATTCCCTTTGTTATGTTAAGTGTTAGCCTTTTATTTATAGTAGGATACTGGGATTATTATATATTTGTGAAATGGGATGTTTATGGATTTGAGTATAGACGGCATATTCAAATAGAATAAATTGGAGCTTGTCTTTTATAATGGAGAAATGGTCCCTATTTGTCATGTTACATTGGGTTTTAATTAATGTTGAATGGATATTGAAACCATTTTATGCCTTTTAAATGTGATTTGCTATAGATTGTAGATGTGGAATGTTTTTATATATGTTAACATTTTAGAGCTTTCTTTTTTTTCTGATAACTGGATTGAAAACAGTGGTATTTACTTGATTTCTCTGTTAAAAAATGAGAGGGGGGGGGAGAGACAGCAAGAGGAGCGCCATCTCCCTCCACGTGTACCCAATGAAAGGCAGTGGTAGCCCAGGTGCTTCCCTTCTGCCCTCTCTCTGACACTGGAAGTAATTTAACAACAAGTTTGTCCAGGGTCAGGTTGGCCATCGAGGGAGGCTCATCTTGCATGTGCAGCAGAGCTGGAGGGCACCCCTGCCACAACGGCCAACCTGACCCTGGGAGAACTGGTTGTTAAATTACTTGAATCCCACCACTGGTTAGGGTCATAGTTCAGATGATTTTCTCAATAATCTTTTCATTTCATTAAAATACTTTATATTCATTCATTGAACTTACTTTCAAAACAGTTGTGAGTACATTCCTCTATACTCTCTCCTTGTATATCAGTAGCATTTTGTTCACTGGAAAAAAATAAATTAGAATTGGTAAAGAATTTATAATCTGCAAAGTCTACCTTACTGGCAAAAATAAATCAAACTATAATACAGCATTGCTGCAAATCAAGCCATTCTGGATAAATGGCTGTCCAGTTTCTTCTTGAAAACCTCCAGTGACTGAGCACTTTCAACTCTGAGAAGTTAAGTGCTCTCAGTTTCTCCTTAGTTCCAGGTAGGACCTCACTTTGAGAGCTTTCACCTATTGCTTCTTGTCCTACCCTCAGGTGTTTTGGAGAATAAGTCAACCCCCACATGTCTATGACTTTCCCTCAAGAACTGGAAGACAGTGATCATGTCACTCTAACTCTTCAATTCATTAGGCTAGATATACTTAGTTTCCTTAAATCATACAATTTAGCCTCCAGATGTCTTAGCATTTTTGTGGCATTCTTCTCCTCACTCTTTCCAGGGCCTTAGCATATTTTTTGTCTCTTCATGACCAGAACTGGATGCAGAATCCAAGTTTGGCTTCACTTGTGCAGTACAAAGTGGTATTATCATTTATGATTTTGATGCTAATCCTGTGATATAGCCTAGGACTGCATTGGCCTTTTTGACAGCTGCAGCAAACAACTGGATCAGACTTAAGTGGTAGTCTATTAGGACACCTAGAGCCTCTCAAAGTTATTACTGTTGAGCCAGGGACTACCTATTCTGTACCCATACATTTATTTTTTTTCCTGTCAAAGTGCAGGAACTTATATTTCTCAACACTGAACTTCACCTTACTGGATAGACCCTGTTGCGTTAGTCTATCAAGATCATTATGAATAAGATAAACACACACATACAACTTGTAATAACCTTGGTAAATTGGTGTGTGTGTGTGTGTGTACACTTTTCTATATCTATAGAAAATCACTAGTTTGTTAATATTAATGGTGAATCTTCATTTCTACAGAAATAAAAAATATTTGTGGTGTGTGTGTGTGTTTTGCCAAGCACCTAGTATGCCCAAATATGGGAGGGAGCGTATTGCTTCCCTTTTGCCATTCAGCCCCAGTCCAGGAGCCTTCCAGGTAGAAAAACCATTTTTGTGTTTCAATTTTGCTGATAATGCAACACAGTAAAAATGCTGGGGGGGGGGGGGGTGCACATACACACACACATGGAAATTCTTTCAACATTCGAGCTTTTCTGTGCACACAATCAAGTATATTTAATAAATCACAAATTTGGAGTGAAGCTTTAGTCATTTGAAATAGTTTTAAATAAAATTACAATCATACCTTGGAGATATTGCAGATTCAGTTTCAGACAACCGTAATAAAATGAATATCACAATAAATCACACAAATCACACATTTCTTTTGTTTCCCAGTGCCTATAAAAGTTATATTTATACTACATTATATGTGTAATTCTTTACTTATGAACACAATTGGGCCCAAAAGTTTTATTGCTAAGTGAGACAGTAGGTGAATTGTGCCCTAATTTATGATCTTTTCCCCACAGTTTAAACCAATCATCAGTTATTAAATGAATCTGGCTTCTCCCATTGACTTTCCTTGTCAGAAACTGACTTATGTGACCTAGGACAGTACAACTGTCCCAAATACATGCCAGTTGTCAAGCATCTATATTTTGATCATATGACAATGGGGATGCTGCTATGGTAGTAAATAGAAAAGTGGGTATAAGTCAAACTTTTTCAGTGCCATTGTAACTTCAGTCACTAAACAAATGGTTATATGTTGAGGATTATCTATAGTCTATTAGTGTGCAATGGCATTATTTCTTTAAAAATAACATACATACATTAATTCAAAATACTTTATTGCTAATCATGATCTTATTAATAATAAAGAAAACATTTAAAATATTGTCAAACTTGAGAATTACCAAAATGTGACAGAGACATGAAATGAGTACATGCTGTTGGAAAAATGTCACTAACATACTTGCTTGATGCAAACCTACAAACCTTGCAGCTACAAACCTTCAACTGGTTAATTTAAAAAAAACACCAAAATGTGACATAGAGATCTACAGGGGGAAAAATGTGTGAAGCACAATAAAGCAAAATATAATAAAACAAGGCATCCTGTATATAAAGTTTGAACAAAAATTAGAATCTCCAAGAGGACAAGACACAGAGATAATCAACAAGATTAAAATAGTAAATCCATTTGCATGTTGAGAATAATTTTATCTTTATTTTTTTTAACCACTGATATTTACAGTTAGTCTTCAACATGCAAATTGGTTGCTTAATGGCCATTTGAAGTTATGGCAATCTGAAAACTACTTATGGCCTAGTCCTGAAATTATGGTCACTAGAGCCCCCCCATATTAATTCACCTTTACATCCAACAACAGGGACGCTCCAATGCCCCCACTCACTTTCCCACCCCTAATGTCTCTCTGCTGGCTTTAGACCTGATTCCCACCCTAGCAAGCCCATACTCCTTCTCGTTTTCTTTTGAACAGTTTGGGATAAATTGCTTTGTTGCTCAGCTGCATGGTACAATTCTGGAATTGCTCTGGGTAAGCAAGGGACAAATCACTCCATTTAGGCAACATGTGACTGTAATGGGTAGGCTTCTTTTTGATCGACTACTTTTATATGTCACATATAAATATTTTATAAGAATTTCAACAAATCTAACTTAAGGAAAGAGCTACCAAAATATTTTCAGCACGTCAATTGTCTCATTAGAGGCAAGAATACTCTAGACCAGTGATCGCGAACCCTTTTCACCTTGGGTGCCATAAGCACGAGCATGCATGCTATAGAACGCACTTGCATGTCCTCCAATAACTTAATACCCCCTCACGCCATGCCCCTTACGCATGCACACATGACCTTGGGAGGGTTGAATAAGGTGACTATTTCTATCTGAAACTCACAAGTTTCCAATGCTGAGGTGGGAGAAGCTGTAGTTCCAAGAGGTCTGCATGCAACACACACACACACACACACACCTTTCAGTTTTAGCCAGCTCCCAGCAAAAAGAAAAAGGAAACAAAAACTCAAGGCAAGATCTCTTATAAAAAGCAGGAAGCCCTGGCCAGCTCTATTCTACAAAGAACCATCCAAAGTTTGGCTCTTTCCAACGAAAAAGTTGCCCAAGAGTTCTAAAATGAAACCTTGACTCTGCCAAATGTCCCTGGTTTGCAATGAGAGAAAGGGAGTGAGGGAGCGAGCTCAAGAGTCAGCAAATGGCAAAATCACCCCTACCTGTAACAATACCCTGGAACATTTGGAGAGAACATAGCAGCCACAAATTAGACACACATACACATACCCTTGCGTTTATCTTTCAGTTTTAGCCAGCCTAGCTAATCTTTATTTTCTCATACTCTTTTTAATTTTTAAAGTTTATTTAAACTGACAATTTGGGGAACAACTGGGCCGCTAACCACCTTAGCCAGGCCTGGGAGCCCGGCTTGTTTTTAACCAGAAGATCAACCATTTGTCAAGTCTGGATCCAAGAGACTTCGAAAGGCAGCTACTCATCGATTTGCTCATTGATCCAAAGAAAGGGGGGTGGAGGACACAAACAGAGCAAAACAAACCAAAAGGAATACAAAAATCAGAAATAGGAGAAGTGATCACTGAAGAGCAAAAGCGTCTCAAAAGAAAGGCGTCTCAGAAAGCCCCAATGCTAAGGCAAAGTGTGGCATCCTTCGTAAGCTGAGCTCCAGAGATTCCAGGGAACCCACAGTCTATTTCAAAGACTGGGGTGGGGGATGAAGAGTGGGAAGAAAGGTGTTTTCTTGTTTGCTGTTCCAACAGACGCAGGACAAGAGATGCTCCCCCATCTCCCCAAAAAACCTTCCTCACCAGCAGGCCGAAGGTGCAGAGCCCACAGTGTTAGGCTTCTGGAGGGAATGGTTGGCTGGCTGTTCTGGGGGAGGGTGCTTATCGTTTGACGTCTGGGAAAGCAGAAAGGATAAGGGGAGCCAGAGGATGGGGGCTCATCCAGTGCAGACCACACCAAGCCGGAGCTCTCTGCAGTGACTTACTTCTCCAAGAGGGCCAAAGCTGTGCTGGGGTTGACACGCAACTTGCACGTTGTGCTGTTTTTCACCCTCCGGAGGCTTCAGGAAAGGCTCCACAGGCTGAAAAATGGCTAAAAATGAAAGCTAAAATCAGCTGGACAGCACGCGCATGAGTACTGAAGCTGACAGAGCAACGCCTTGCATGCCCTAAGAAATGGCTCCGCATGCCACAGGTTCATCATCACAGCTCTGGACCATTGCTAAACAACGTTAAAATATACTTATCAGTCTTTACCACGAAAGCTATGGGCAGGGTGGTTTTGATTTAAATCAAATCAAGGTGGATTTGATTTAAATCAATACAGTATGAGGCTGTATATTCTGCAACATTGGGACTGTTGGTAAATCAACAGCAGGTCAGAGGAGTAGCAGAGATGACAGTTGCTTTTAAAAAAATATTATTTAAATTGAGTTGATTTAATCATGATCTCAATCACTAGTAAAAGGCTTGATTTAAATCAACTCAATTTAAATCATAATTTTTAAAAATCAACTGTCATCTTTGCTACTCCTCTGACCTGCTGTTGATTTACCAACAGTCCCAATGTTGCAGAATATACAGCTTCATGCTACATAACTAAACTCCATTTCATGCTGAATAAACTAAATTATGTATGTATCTTATATAGAAAAATATTTTTAGATAGATTTTTACTCCAAAAGCATTTTGTTAAAATAAATTTGATTTTTTAAAAATCTGATTTAAATTTTAAAAATTCAATTTAAAATTTAAAAATCATTGATTTTTATCCCTCTTGGCTGTGGGACACTCTGATCATTGCATGATTCACCTTGTACCTGCTTACAGACAAATACTTAAAGCCATGAAATCAACAATTAATTCAGTGACAACTTGGAGTGAGGAGGCAAAGCTAAAGCTACAAACTTGCTTTGACTGTACTAATTGGAATGTTTTTGAAGATACCTCTGCAGTCTTGGATGAACTCACAGACACTGTAACATCATATGTCAGATTTTGTGAAGACCTATATGTGCCAACCAGAAACCTGCAAATATACAATAACAATAAACCTTGGTTCACAGCTAAACTTAAGCAGCTACACTGTACCAAAGAGGAAGCCCACAGAAAAGGCAATAGAATGCTGTATAATCAGGCCAGAAACATATTAAGAAGGGAGATCAGAGCAGCAAAGAGAAGCCACTCTGAAAAGCTAAGGAATCAGTTCTCGGTAAATAAACCAGCAAACATGTGGAAAACTCTTAAAAATATCACCGGTTACAGCAAACCTCCTTCCCATGCTGAAGGAAATCAACAACTGTCAGATGATCTGAATGTATTTTACTGTAGTTTTGAGAGAAAACTACTGCCACCCATCTCCACAATCCCCATCTCAGACACAACAACAGCCAAGCCTCCTACAACTGACCCCATCCCATTAGGCCCACTGCCTCTGGTGATTACAGAAAATGCGGTCTATTTCACAGACAAAAGCCAGGAAAAGCACCAGGCTCAGACAAGATAACTCCTTGCTTAAAAGCTTGTGCTGACCAACTAGCCCCTATCTTCACATGAATCTTTAATAAATCACTAGAAATGTGCTATGTTCCTTCTTGCTTCAAAGGTTCTACTATAATCCCAGTGCCGAAGAAATCCTCAATCAAGGAACTGAATGACTTCAGACCAGTTGAACTCACACAAAACCGTAGAAATGGTGGTAGATTTTAAGAGAAACCCTCCTATACTACCACCTCTAACAATATTAAACAACACAGTATCAATAGTAGACACCTACAAGTTTCTAGGTTCTAGTTCTATTATATCTCAACTTAAAATGGACATCTAACATCAAAAACATTATCAAAAAAGCACAAGAATCTTCTTTCTGCGCCAACTTAGAAAGCTCAAATTGCCCAAGGAGCTGCTGATTCAGTTCTACAAAGGAATTATCGAGTCTGTCATCTTCACCTCTATGACTATATGGTTTGGCTCTGCAACCAAATAAGACAGACACAGACTTCAACGGGATAATTAACGGGATAACGGCAGAAAAAATAATTGCTACCAATCTGCCTTCCATTGAGGACCTATATACTGCATGAGTCAAAAACAGGGCTGTGAAAATATCTACAGATCCCTCACATCCTGGACATCATTTGTTTCAACTTCTACCCTCAAGACAACGCTACAGAGCACGGCACACCAGAACAACTAGACACAAGGACAGCTTTTTCCCCAAATACCACCACTCTGCTAAACAACTAATTTCCACCACACTGTCAAATTATTTACTAAGACTGATTTACTATTATTCTTCTCAGCCTTCCTATTACCTATCCCCTCCACTTATTACTATAACCATGTTACTTCTATCTTTACAAATAATATTGTTTTATTTGTTTCCTAGTATGATTTGATTGTTTATTAGTAAACTATGACTATCACTAAGTGTTGTATCTTATGTTTCTTGAATAATGTATTTTTTTTCTTTTATGTACACTGAGAGCATATGCACTAAAGACAAATTCCTTGTGTGTCCAATCACACTTGGCCAATAATCTAATCTAATCTATCGTTTGGAAGTCTAGAAGTTTATCGAATCTAGAAGTTTAGAAAAATCTGAATATTTCTTTTCATTTTATCAACATAAAATACTGCAATATAAGATACATTGTCTCATATATTTTAGGAAACCTCAATTTTATCTATTTCAATATAGTTTAAGAAATAAATATTAGTTACCTTTCTGCGTTGAAGAATCTTGGCCTATATGCTGTCTTTAAATGATTCTTTTAAAGAAAAAATATAATGCTTTTTGAAAAATAAATTAAAAGTTCAATTCAGCACAATAGGATTATAGATTAATCTAGATGACCACATATTATTTTCACATCAATTGTTGGGGAACTAGGAAGGAGCTTTCATTTTCTAGTGATAAGCTATTTGTACACAATTATTCGTAACCTATATTCTTCAAATACTTGCCATAAATTTATAATTTTCCATCACCAACAAATATTACTAAATATAATTGAGATTAGTTATTTTCCTTAGAAAGTGATTTAGGGATGATGAATTTTTTTAAAAAAATCTTGTTTAGTCTTTTGTTGCAAAAACAGTGAACTGTCCTATGCCATCTTACACTACAAAATCATACACTTGCTCATCCCAATATGCTATCTTCTATTAACTCTATCCCATTATCTTTTACATTGGACAAGCACACAGTACTCATCCTTAGGAAAATTGTTCTGAAATGAAATTATTCTAAATATAATAGCAACCTTACACTCTCATGAGACTCGAATTACATTGCTAAGCAATTATTTAATGTATTTTATTAAACAAAATTTTGTAGCCACCCAACTCACACATAAGTGACTCCAGGCAACTTACAGAAAATAATGTAAAATATCTCTTAATATAAAAATAAAGGTGTCACACCTGCTTTGTTGATAACCACTAACTATAAGCATTCTATTAAGTGCTTCCCCTTTCCCCTTTTCTGCAACAATAACGTATTGTGTAAAACTCTGCTCTTAAAATTATTTGCAATTGTTGAGGCAGATGTGATTCATCAAAGATTGTATCAATATAAACGTCGAGGGAAACTACCACATTACGCTTACCAGCCAATCCATAGCAATTTTCTTCAGGCTCGAAGGACGTTTTCTTGTCGTTTTGAAAACGGCGCGACGTATCCGAATGACGCGAGTGCACCACAGGGAAGTCCATTGGTCAGATCTTTACTACGTCACAAAAAATGGAGGTGGATGAAGAAAGCGAAATCACTCAGCATTTTTATAGATCTATGCATA